CATCAAACCTTTTGAGTTGTTGTTATCATTTTGATCTCACATAGATAATTCTTTTTTTTTTTTTTGTATTTTAGATGAAGGTTTACGGAACAAATAGTTTCTCATTAAACAGTTAGTACATACACTGCCCTTTGACAATGGTTAACAACCCCACGACATGTCAGCACTGCACTTTCTCAACAGTAGGTTCCCTATTACCAGCTTTCCTGTCCCCTCCTGCCTTCTAGTCCTTGTCCCTGGTCTGATGTGCCTCATTAGCCCCATTTTGTTTTATGGGGCTGTCTAATCCCCGGCTGAATGGTGAACCTCAGGAGTGACTTCAACACTGGGCTAAAAGGGTGCCCAGGGGCCATACTCTCGGGATTCTCCAGTCTCTATCAGGCCAGCAAATCTGGTCTTTTTTGTTTTAGAATTCTGTTCTGCATTCTTCTCCAGCTCTGTCCAAGACCCTCTGTTGTGATCCTGGTCTGAGCAGCTGGTGGTGGTAGCTGGGCACCATTTAGCTGTACTGGACTCAGTCTGGTGGGGGCCTTGGTAGCTGTGGTCCATTAGTCCTTCGGACTAATCATTTCCTTGTATCCTATTCTCTTCATTCTCCCTTGCTCCCAAAGGGATGAGACCAGTGGAGTATCTTAGATGGCTGCTCTCATTCTTTTAAGACCCCAGATGCCACTCACCAAGGTAGAAAGTAGAACATTGTCTTTATAAACTGTGTTTTGCAATTGAGCTAAATGTTCCCTGGGACCATGCTCCCCACAGCCCTCCGCCCAGCAACTCAGTCTCTCAGGGAGTTTGGATGTGTCTATGGAGCTTCCATGACCTTTCCTTGTACAAGTTGTGCTGGCTTCCCAAGTATTGTGTACTGTCTTACCCTTCGCCAAAGTTATCACTTATCTATAGTCTATTTAGTTTCTCCCTCCACCGCTCCCATCACTCATAACCAACAAAGATTGTTTCTTTTTGTGTGTTTTTCTTGAGTTTTTACGGTAGAGGTCCCGTACAATATTTGTCTTTTTGATATTGACTTATTTCACTCAGAATAATGTTCTCCAGTTTCATTCATGTTATGAGATGCTTCACAGATTCATCATTGTTCTTTATCATTGCATAATACTCCTTTGTGAGTATGTACCATAGTTTTTTTATCCATTCATCTGTTAATGGGCATCTAGGTGATTTCCATCCTTTTGCTATTGTGAACAATGCTGCAGTGAACATGGGTGTGCACATGTCTATTCATGTGACAGCTCTTATTTCTCTAGGATATATTCCTAGGAGTGGGATTGCTGGCTTGTATGGTATTCTATGTCTGGCTTTCTGAGGAAGTGCCATATCATGTTCCAAAATGGTTGTATCATTATGCATTCCCACCAGCAGTAAATAAGAGTTCCCATCTGCCCACAGCCTCTCCAACATTTGTTATTTCCAGTGTTTTTGATCTGTGCCAGTAATGCTGGAGTGAGAAGGTATCTCATCGTGGTTTTAATTGGCATTTCTCTAATGGCTAGTGATTGTGAGCATTTCCTCATGTGTCTGTTGGCCATTTGAATGTCTTCTTTGGTGAAGTGTCTGTTCATTTCCTTTGTCCATTTTTTAATTGGATTATTAGTCTTTTTGTTGTAGAGGTGTTGGATTTTCTTGAGAATCTTAGAGATTAGACCTTTGTCTGCCTTGTAATGTCCAAAATTTTTTTCCCAGTCTG